TTGCGCTTACTAACTATCATGTACTTTGTTTTGTTCGTATTTAGATCCAGCCCATATTCTCAACTTATATCTGATATACGCAACATTATTACTTGTAAACCATAATGTTGTTTAGACGCACTTAGTTAATTAAGACGCCTTCCTGTAGTTGTCCCAGTGCTTGCTCGAAGATACGCTCAGAGTACATGTTAAATAGCACTGGAGACAGAATGCATCCTTGTCTCACTCCTCTATCTAGTCAAATTAATTTTTACTTTGTTATATTGCACACTCACATATAAAATTAAAAGACAAGTTTGAACAAATAAATCAACATGATACATTATTTAAATTTCTTATCGACCTACATAATTTCCTTAAAACGGATAAATCAATTAGGTCTGCAAAATGTAAAGCTATTGAAAATATTTTATGCGATCCAGCGATATTTCAAGATTTATATGATGAAATACAATTCTTTACCCTATATTTCTCCTAAAATATACGCATTTAACGTCATCGACTACAAATTCAAAAAATAAACTCCTTTATCTATTTCTAATTCAGTAATTGATATACGAATTTTCGTAACATTACCTGTGACAGTGGCTATTAAGAAAAGAAGCTTTTCAAAATTATAATTATCTACGTTTGGGTAAAAAATGCCTTCAAACTTAGACATCATTAGTTTTAAAAAGGACATTTCAGAAAATACTTATGTGTCTGACATTGTTAAAACATTTGCCTTAAAAAAAGCTAGAAAAGCAAAGTTTACTGTATTAGTAGATATGGTTATCCACATCCGGCCCTGTATTTATATTTATGTATTTATTTATTATAGGACATTACAAATAAGTTGTAAAATTATATTAAATAAACTCTGTATGAATACATAATATAACAAACCACATAAAGCTTCCCGTTAAAGCTAATCTTTTTGCTGATGATCTAGTAATATACAGGGTGGCCCTTAAGTAATTGTAGAAAAAGAAGCCGTAGATTCTACACTTTAAAATATAACGATTTAAGTCACATTGCTTTGAGTATTAGGCATTGATATTAAGGAAGATACATGATGTTAAAGTGAAAATTTAAAATTTTAATCTTCGCTATACCTTTCATGTTTGTAAACATTTATGTATAAAAATTCATACCTGGGTACTATTAAACATCAGGAATTATAATTTGATGCATACTTTACTGTAGCTGATAGAGGGCGCCACATATGCCACATATGTGGCATACATTTGCAATTAACTTTTTGCTCTTTAAGTTACCGGTGTTTGTGATAAAAAATATTAAAGATACATTATTTGAATAAAATAAAAGGTATACTTGTTAATAACTTTAAAAATCAACAATTTTCGATATAATCGAATTTTACAAATCAACTTCATAATTCAGATTTAACGCAATTACTCTAGACAACGAAAGAAAATTAGACAAAAACATCAATACTGAATTTTGTTAAAAAATGCCGTTAATAAAGTTAATAGTTAACGAAATATTAAATAAAATAAATATATTAGCAGGATAGTTAATAGTAGGGTTTGACAAAATAACAGAATAGTTGGATTTTACATCAAATATTTTACGTTTTGTATTAAATTAAAGTCACAATTAAAATATTTTATTTATAAACCCAATTAATAAATAGGTAAACTAAATAACATTAAACTTTTTGTCAAAGTAGGTGTACGATATGTCCACCATTTCCTTTAATTCATTTGTCAATACATTTCATAAAAGAACGTATCATTTTAAATAGCATCATTGGTTCTAAAAACACTGTTGCAGTATTTATTATAAGTATTATAAGTATACTAATAAGTATTCTTTTGAGATTTTTATGCATTAAGTAATTAAATTAATATATTACCACATGACCCAGGAATATGACTACCACAACAATCCAACTTTCAGGAAAGTTGTATTTAAGTATTTTCTCACTGTCCTCTTTCTATAAATTGAATTGAAAAAGACTGTAAGACTTGTACACACTTCTAAATAATATAATATGTATAAATAAATAAATAATAAAATGAATAAAATAAAAATGAAGTATTTTTACTTCAAAAATGTAAGTCAAAAACAGCTGTTGTCATTGCTGTATGTGGTAACCATGTTTTATAAAAAAGTTTTTGATGTGAATTATACATATGTATAAGGGTTAGACCCAAGATCTGTGGCCTAGAGAGCCCGATCTTTGTTTTTTAATATGTCGTTTGTCCACAATTTTCCTTCTATGAAGTATTTATTGCCTAATTGACGATAGCTCTGATGATGACATTTATTATGTCGAAAGTATACTCAGCTTAATTAATAAATTATTTTACACAGTATCAATTTTATTGAAAACATACAAAACCTGCTTACCAGTTAGACCTCTTTCTATAAGGTGGTGCATCTTGCGTAAACAACATATTTCGCCCTAAGCTTGATGACGATTCTTCCAATAAATCAATAAAATTATTTTATAAAAAATTTAAATCAATCTCATTCAAATTACAAGGTAATTCACATATCCGTAAAAAATAATTACCAATGTTTCCAAACCATATGTTTAAAATTTAAAATGTATTTAAAATTTATGTTTAAAATACATATCGTATGGTTTGATACCATTTGTAATTATTTTTTACGAACATGCGAATTATCTTGTAATTTGAATGATGAGATTGATTTACATTTTTTATAAAATGGTTTTATTGATTTATTGGAAAAATTGTCATCAAACTTAAGGCGAAATATGTGGTTTATGCAAGATGGTACACCACCATCTTATTATTATTAATATAATTATTTAATTCATAAAAATTCCAAACGAATACTTTTATTTTACATTTACTATATATTATACTTATAATAGTTATTATAAATACTGCAGCAGTTTCTTTGGAACCAATGATGCTATTTAATATGAAAAGATCTTTTATGGAATGTATTGACAAATGAATTAAAGAAAATGGTGGACATATCGGACACTTACTTTGACAAAAAGTTTAATGTTATTTAACTATTTCTTAATTTGCTTTATAAATAAAATATTTTGATTATGACTTTAATTTAATACAAAATGTAAAATGTTTATGTAAATGTATTTATTTTATTTAATATTTCGCTGACTATTAACTTTATTAACGGCATTTTATACCAAACTTCAGAAGTATTGATGTTTTTGTCTAATTTTCTTTTTACTTTACATTAAAGTATCCATAAAATTTTAATTTCTGATATTCAATAGTACCCAGTTATGAATTTTTATACATAAATGTTCACAAGCGTGAAAGTTATAGCGAAAATTAAAATGTTAAATCTACACTTTAACACCCTGTTTCTTTCTTAATATTAATATTTTATTAAAGTAATTTGGCTTAAATCGTAATATTTAAAAGTGTAGAATGTACAGTTTCTTTTTGTACAATTACTTAAGGACCACCCTGTATATTAAAAGTAAAAATATAGAATTAGCTACGCAAATTTTACAGAGGACGTTAAACAGTTTAAAATGTGGTCTTTAGAGACTGGTTTTACTTTTTCAACTGAGAAGACTAAACTAATAATGTTTGACAAAAGAATAGTAGAATATAACTTAAACTTTTATCTAAATGGTCATTCTTTGAAACAAGTCCTCGAAATCAAATTTTTGGGTGCAATATTTGACTCACAACTCACATGGACTTCACATATCAACAATTTGATCAAATCCTGTCAACAAAGAATAAACTTACTAATAGTTTTATCCAATCATAGATGGAGTTCAGATATTTAAATTCTTCTAAATTTATATCAGACATTAATAAGAAGCAAACTCGACTACAGATGCATCTGTTATGAAACAACAAATAAAAATCAACTAAAAAAACTGGATGTTTATAAAACCACATATCTACGACTAATCTTTGGAGTCTTTAGAACTACTTGAAACAGAAGCCTCCAAGTGCTAGTAGGATAAATGCCACTATACCTCAGAAGATAATATATATATATATCACTATGCTGCGCTTCAAAAATTCTAAGCGCCAAGGATCATACCTTTCTCGCAAGTTTAGTATCGGAAGAATCACTAGAACAATACACAAATTACACCACCAAGACAGTACAATTTTATGAATGAGTTAAAATACTACCGTATTATATCAATCAAATCACCTTGGCACCCATAAAAATATACCAGACATCTCCCTTAACAGTTTCTTTACCAATAGTAGACCTCTCCTTACTTAATCATGATAATTTCTGCTGGGGTCAGGCTTCAGTATCATGCAAATTTACTCAAATATTCCACTTACAAATTGTTCTTCATTGATGCCTCCAAAGATTGCAATGGAGTAGCAGCTGCTACTTTATCATAAAAGGTAATTTCTGCCACTAGATTAATTGACGGCATAGTATTTATACCGTAGAGCTCCAAGCAATACTTGACGCACTCAATTATTGTAAAACCACAAATGAAAAACAAATACTAATATTATCAGATTCATTAAGTTCTTTACAAGCCATTAAACATGTTTATCCTACACACATCAATTTATTCCTAATTAAAGACGCGTTGCAACAGCTCCAATTTTCTGGGAAAACCATATCATTTATGTAGGTCCCATCCCATGTCGAAATAACTGGTAATGAACTAGCAGACAAAACAGCGTTTGAAGCAATGAACAATGTGAACATTCCGATTACAACAGGTATACCAATATAAGATACTAGTGGTTGATGCGGATAAATAAAATAAAATAAAAAACACTCTGTATGCTTCTTACAATTTTGTTTTTTTTTAACGTAAGATTATTTTAACTTTTTGATTTACAAATACTTATAAACTTTCTGGGAAGGTTAGGTTTGGTGAAGGCGGCCAAATTATTCTCGCATCCGGGCCGCAATATCCTAGATACCCTAGACACGACCCTGTGTGCAATGAAAAAAAAATTATTTCGTTTGCATTCTACTGGTCAACCTATACAAAAATACTTATGTCTTAAGAACATAAATTATCATTAGCAAACAATACTAAGGTATGAGGGAGTTTAGTGACATTTCTTAAATTCGGAGCTATTGCGGTCGGATCTCTGACTAACGCTAGTGTAGAAAGAGACACGACAAGGTAAGTTTTACCGATGTAGATTTCATAAATCGTGATGGAACTAATATGAGTAATATGACCATACTATGGTTCCACGGTATTCATTACAGTTTAATGTAAGTACCTAATATCCATTAAAACAAATTATTCTCCGGGTACTCGCGTGTGACATTTTTATTTTTACGGACAATTTTTTTTTGGTTTGTTAGTGACTAAAAAAGCCGAATATCGGATAGTAAAAATACAAATAAAAAAATGGCAGATACAACTAAAATTAGTGAACAGAACGAGTTAAAAAATTCAAGTGAAAATATTAATATCGATGAAAATAAAATAGCCACAGACAATGACTATTCGGCTAATATCCAAACTGAAAAAGTCGATCACCAAGAGGTATGTTATTTATGAAATTTAACGTTTTAGAAATATACTGTTACAAAATAATTAGATAATTATTTTATATCTGTTTTTAGTAAAGAAAATATACAATAATATACAGTTATAAATATTTATTTTTCCATTCTAATACTTAAAATTTTTTCATGTTTCCTTAGTCAAAGAGAAACGTCGCTATTTTGATCTATTATTTTTATGTAATTTAAAAAAATGTAGAGTTTATATCTAAGTGGCTGTTAATTATCTAGATTTATGTCTATTTTCCTCACTTTTAAAATTAATATATATTATTATTAATATATATATATATATATATATATATATACATTACAAGTGATTAATTTATTATTATTATAAACACTTTAAATTATAAAACGGACACTGGACAGTTAAGTAACATATATTGTAACATATTATACAAAGTTTATAAATCTTGAAAATAGCTAATTTCACCTTAATAACAACCAACCTTAATAATTTATGAAACAAAAATAACATTCTTCTAACGTTTCTTTTATGGTTATTTTTATTTCTACACTTAAAATCAATATAATTTTGTAATCATATTATTATTACATTTTATTTTTTATTATTTATAATTTAACTATGACATTTATTACATACTTCAATGTCAATTTTTATTTTTTAAATCTTTTAATTTCTGTAAGTTTTTTAAATGTATTTTTACGTCATTTTTGTAATGTTAAAATTGTTTTACAGTTTACTCCTGATGAAGCTATCAAATAAATAGCGAAATATTGAGTTTGTTAGAAAAAGTAAAGATTTTTAATACAGACCACTATACCTGATAATTTCATTTCTACTTACAATTGGTACAATTTGTAGATACACATTTTTTCATTAGTCATTGTTTCCTAATACCTATTAGTACTAATCCTACTATTACTAGTATTCATCTCTAATATATATAGTCTTTTTTTCTATTAATTGTTTTTTAGTTATTTATATATAAAATAAGTGATGAGGTCCTCAGAGTTCCACAGTAAACTCTTCTGCAGCTATCTACTTAATTCAATAGCTACTTTACTGTGGACTGTCCAAGTTCCTCATTTTTTCTCTTTTTTCTTTATTAATTTTTTTATTTGATTCCTAATATTTTTTTTTATCTTTTTTATTTTCTTTTTTTATTATTATTTAAAAAAATTTTTTTTTTTTTACTTTTTTTTTTTACAAATTACAAAGAAATACTTACTCTATATTTACAATTTTGCTAATTTGAGTTTAATATCTAAAACATGTTTATGCAATCATCTATATAAAAACTCATAGTTTTCTAATGTTAATAAATAACTTAAATTAATGGATTGGTGGATATCGGTCAAAGAATACAGCGAATTATTAACCTTATTGGAAATAAGAGAATAGTCTAAAATTTTATGTTGTAGGTTACCCATCTGACCACAAGTACATTGTGGACTATCAGCTAGATTCATTTTAAACATATATAATGGTGTAAGACAGTGGTTAAATCTCATTCTGCATATAGTTCTTGTCATATCCTTCAGTCTTGTCGACTCCATTTTAGCAAACCAAGATTTATACGTAATATGGTTTCTGATTGCTCTGTAATGTTTTCCTGTATTTATGTTTTCATTAATATACCTTTATTTCCATTCATTCTGAAGCTCTTTGAACGTGTCTGATTCTATATCTCTAGACGTACAAAGATAATCAGTTAATACTCCTTGTGTCACAGCGTGTTTTGCCAATTCATCTACTATCTCATTTCCAGTTATTCCACAATTTATTCCACAATGGCTTTTAATCCATGCCAACTTAACAGTTTTGCCTTGTTGCTGAAGTTCTTTAATTTTATTTATTATATATAATTCAACGTAATTTACTGCTGATTTAGGATTTATGGCACTAATTTTACTTAAAGCACTTTTGCTTTCACCATAAATTATAAACTTTAAATGATTTATATTAGATAAATATTTTAGTGCTTCCACTATTGCTATTAATTCAGCTGTGTATATACTCATGACGGAATTGAGTTTAAACATTTTACTGTTTTTAAAATAAAAAATGAAAAAGACAGCAAAGATTTGATTTCACGCACAAAGGGTCTATGTATCTGTTGATACGTATTTCGACCTAATAGGTCTCATCAGAACAGTTATTCATAGGCGTTCTCAACGTTAATAGTTATTATTTTTAACGTGAAAAATAAATCTTTTCTCTCTTTTAAGAAGCAACCCTAAAACGGCTTCGATATGGACGCAATAGCGACATCTGATAATAAATCCGTAAAATAGTTTCGAAACACAATTCAGATTTCTGCTTTAATCTGACCCTTCTAAGATTGCAAGGTATAACAGACGTTGATAAAGATGTTAGAAGAGACATGGGGAATCTAAAATTTGCATTCCATGACATGTCTCCTCAACTCTATCAACGTCTGTTATACCTTGCAATCTTAGAAGGTTCAGATTAAAGCAGAAATCTGAATTGTGTTTCGAAATTATTATACGGATTTACTGTTTTTATTATTGTCATCCCAGTATGCACATCCCACACCTTCGATACTTTTGGATGCATCTGTATAAGTATATAACAATCTTTGAACAATTGTGAACTGTCAGATATAAACATTAATTTTCTTAAAGATAAAGGTAAATTGCTGTAGTCCCTTAAGAAGTATACCTGAACTTTTTCTAGAGTATTAAAGTCAATATTGTAATTTGTGTTTATGTCATATTTATATAGTTGTTTATCATATATTGTCATTTTTGAATATAAATCTACTATATTTAGAGTTTTCTTTTTTATCCAATATTTTTCTGTTAAGTCTGCTTAGAACAGTTGGTGTATTTTGAATATTAAACTTGACTTTTTGTCGTACAATCTAACTAAAAGTCTGATGCCAAGTTTTTTCGTCTTATATACATTGGCATTTCACAGCATTCGACTTGTAGGTTACTAATGGGTGTACTTCTTAGGGCTCTTATACACAATCTAAGGCATTTATTAACGAGTTTGTCTATTTTGTTTAAATGACACTGTGATGCGTCACTCTATAATATTGATCCATAGTCGATTATAGCTCTTATATTATTTTTAAATAATAACAAAAAAAATATTTGGATCTACTCCCCATCGTAAGTATGACACGAATCGAAGAAGATTTATTCCCTTTTCTGTTTTTTTTTAACTATATTGTCTATATGTTTTTTCCAGAGAAGCTGTCTATCAAGAGTAATGCCCAAATATTTAACATAACTTTGCACTGGATAGTAGACATTGTTTATTAAGATGTAGTTGGGTATCTCTTTTCGTTTTCTTGTAAAAATACATAATTTAGTTTTCGAATCAGAGATATTTAGTCCAGGTAATTCACTCCATGTTTTATTATGATTGACTCCTTCTTCAATGGATTTGACTGCATTTTCTATTTTAATGCGTTCTTGATAAATGACTATATCATCTGCAAATTGTAAAATTTTTGTGGAGTTTAAATTTTTTACTAGATCAGCAGTATAAATTAAATATAACAATGGGCTTAATAGTCCTCCTTGAGATAAACCATCCATCACTAGCCTTGGACCAATTGTGTTACCATTTACCGATATATAAAATTTTCTACAGTCATATAGTTTTATTATTTTTTGACAGAAACATTCGGGAAGACCCATTTGTATCATTTTGTTGTATAGTATATAACTTAAATTAACGTTGTCGTATACTGATTCAACATCTAATAAAAAGCTGTTACTGAAGAATTTGACGTAAACGCTAAATTTATATCTGTTACCAAGGGGCTCACTGCTTCCACAGTAGAATGATTTTTACGAAATCCAAATTGTGTTTGTGATATTTTTTTCTAACCATCTTCCGAGCCTAAGTTTAATCATTATTTTCAGTGTTTTTGTTATACAGTAGCTTAATGAAATACCTCTATAAGATTCTGCCGAATCAGAATTTCGACTTGCTTTAAGTATAGGAATCACCCGGTACTCTCTCCAACTATCTGGAATATCTTCTGATTGCCATATTTGATTAAACATTTTTAATAGTGTTTCTTTTCCTTTTTGATGTAAATTTGCTAACATAATATAATGTATATTATCTTTCCCCGGAGAAGTGTTTTTCTTGTTCTTAAGACTTATTTTTAATTACATTACATTAATTTTTGAAAATATATTATCTGGACATAATTTACTCAAAAACACCTCAACCCATTCTCCTTCAGTTACTGCAATTATTTGTGGTTTAAAGATGTTTTGTAAACGACCTTGATTCCACATATTTTTTATTGGTGTATTTTTGTTTAAAGTTTTACAAAAAATTTTCCATGCATTACGCTTACTCTTTAATATAACTTTTTGGTTTCTGTTACACATTTATTATAATTTATATAATTTTGTACATTGAACTGTAACTTAAACTTGCGTAAAGCAAGTTGTTGTGCTTGAATAACCTTTTTACAATTGTCATTCCACCAAGTTTTCCTAAACCGTGGACTAGACCCTGTTCTTTTCTCCGGTATACATAATTTATAATATTCGTTTAATTTATTTAAAAATTGTTGGTAATCTAAATTATTATCGTGTTCCATGAAATTATTAGTGATAGAAGAAAAAAGAGATCAGTCCGCTTTTTTTATATTCCATTGAAATTTTGTATTTACACATTCCTCTTTATTAACATTAATATTTGAGTTTATAACAATAGCAAAATTATTTGATAATAAAGTATTGCCCACAACATCCCAATCGAACCAATGACTAATATTTGCTGAGCATATTGTTAGGTCTATTGCCGATTTATTAATACTGCTAGGTCAACGCAGCAACGTTTCTTTGCCGTTATTTAAAAGTACGAGATTACAGCCCTCAATAGATTCTAACAGATTTTTTTCTATAGTGTCTACAGTACTACAACCCCAAACATAATTGTGGCTATTAAAATCACCACCAATTATAATATTAATATTAATATTATTAATAATATTATTATTATATATTAATAATATT